CCTCCCCCTCTCCCAAACAAAGCTAAGCTTTTCTCCCTGAATTTATGATGTTCCTTCTCATCATAGAATCATGTTCCTTCCCCCTCTTTCCCCCTCTCCCAAGCAAAGCTAAGCATGTATTTCAATTGTCTATTTTCTTCTCATGAGCGTGATATGTATAACCTATCGGACATATTATTCAAATTCCATAGATCAAATTCTATTATTTCACAACTTGTCCCTCGATGACTGGAGTATCTGATGATTCCAGTATACAGGAATCTGTCAATTTTATTTAAAGAATATATTGTTACAGGCGAACAAGATCAACCAATAATCTTATCTAAATTAAATCCGTATCCCTTAACAAACAATAGGAAGCAGGATAAACAGGGAGTAGATTAAAGAGGCAAAGTTGCAAACAGAAGCAACCAAAGAAATGCATATTAAGAGAATACTGAAAGAGATTCAGAGAGATATTTACACCCATGTCTACTTGGCCACTTAAGAAAACTCAAATAGGATAATTTTATCAAAGATTAAACCAACAACAACAAAATCCAAAAAATAAAATATTAACTTAATACATGTACTAGAGGGCAAAACAAAAAACAAAAAGGAAACCTCAAGCTTTCATGGCTGGCTGTCGAAACAGAGGCTCAATTATCACATTATAAAAGAAAAAAGCTCCCCCAAATAGGAATAGGAAACCCCAAGCTTTCATGGCTGGCTGTTCAAGCAGAGGTTCAATTAAACAACCAGCATAACAAAAGAACAACAAAGCTATGAGGAGGAAGAAGCAAAGAACACGAAAGCAAAAGAAAAGAAGAGAGAGAGAACTCACAGCCATTGATCTTGCTGTGAAGGAATCCCAGAAGAAGGAAAAGGCAAGTTAGTTGCCTCTTCCTAAATGCAAAGCAACATATCTTCTGCCGTGGAAGTTGCAATTATAGTTGACTAATGTCGCTGGTAACTATTGAACTTTCTCCGCTGCTTGTCTTTTTCCGAACTCATTTATTATTATTTATTATTTCTCAACTAATTTATTTATTTATTTCAGATTTCGGGACTGGTTTGACAGTAAACAGTGAACTTGAAGAATGACGTTGGATAAGATGAGCTAAGGTGACGTATTATTTATCGGATAATTTATATAATCTACTTTTACCCCCCACCCCCACAAAAATAATATTTACACTATATATAAAAGTAAGGGTATATCATATAAAAGGAAATAATAATAGCTAGCTTCTCTTCTTTTTACGTTGGGATTTTAAAGGACTAAATGAATGCTTCGTCCGCGTGCGCAAAATGCCAACGTAAATATTTTTTAACCCGGAATTTTTGCTAGAACGCCTACGTGGCAGAATGTAACATTACAGCTGGATAATTATTGCTGAGGTGGATTAAAACAGCCACGTGGCTAAATAAAAAATCAACTTCAAAATTTTCACGTTAATGTTGCTGATTAAAAATATAATTTTATGAGAATTTAAAAAACATAAAATTGCGAGAAAAATTAACTTTATTTTATATTACACAAGAGTACATATATTTATTTATTTTATGTAAATAATTACAAAATATGGAGGTTATTGCAATGTGAAATTTATTTTCAAAATCCATCAATTTCATTGAAATTTTATGTAATAATTCAAAATTGAATTCTATCCTTCAAAATAAATTTATAAAAATCTTGTGAAACTAATTTATTCCAAACACACTTGAAAATTTAAAGTTTTCTTTTAAATAAAATGCAAAACTTCCCAACAGCCAACAATCACCGACCAGATCCACATCAAAACACCACCACTATTACTTTCCCACCCACCTCCTACTCACTTTTCTGCTGCCATCGATCATTACCACCATCATAAAAGAACAAGATTTATATGTAATATGCACACCCATATAATGATTTGCCTTTAACCCAAATATCACCAAAAGTATAAACTACTACAACAATACAAACAGTTTCATGAATATATCTCCTGATACTTCTTGTTTTACATGCCTAATAGGATATGATGAAACTGAATAATGATATAACTTGCTATGAGCCAAGTTGAATCTCAGTTGTAGCTGCAGTAGAGGCGAGAAGCAACCAAGAGAAGCAGACTATAAACCAAAAAACTATTCTATAAAAGAAAATGCAACATCCTCTCTTACCTTGCAAACAGATTATTATGAGAGTTCGTTTGTTTCCTAGTAAATGATACGACGGAAAGGCGATGCATATATATCTGCAAATAAATACATCCGTTACCTGATAATATTTCTTAATCTCATGGAGCTATTGTCACCGCTCCAACCTGACCCGATCATCTGAACTTGAACAAATTTGAAGTAAGTTTTTTCTCCAACTGACTATCTCTTCATGATGCAGATAAAGGTTCGCCAGAGAAATACAGAGCTGTCTTTTACTTCCAATATCTGATATTCTTCGCAGCATCTTCAATGCTTTGGCACATCTCCGGATGTTTCAAAGTCAATATGTTCTTAAGCTGATGCGAAGATATAGGGATGCAATCCTCCTCAATAACAGATTCAGAACAAAGACCAAAAAGAACCAAATTCACATCTTTCTCAAGTTGAAGACAGTATAGGTGGCTAAAAACCTAAAGAACAAATGTCACAAAAGGCACCAATTACAACAACATAATTTCTGGAAGCAATATGAAGAAATAGTTAAGACATCATCAGTCAAAATATCTTCTTTATACAGTACAGTCAATTGACTGGGGAGAACAGTAGACATTTTGATTTATGCACCTGAACCTAAAGAATATAAGCCACTTACACCCTTTGATAAACATGTCTCCTTATCCATCAAGTAATTAACTTCATTATCAATCCCCCTCGCAAAGCCAGATTACAAGAAGTTATGCATGCCAAAGCCTTGATAACAGAAAAACGAAATATAATTCCTAGACAAACCCCCACTGTCAATTTCTTGGCTAGCCACACTGGGTGCAGTTATATTTGTGAAAAACAAATCATATGACTCTACAAAATTCCTTCCACCAAGGCCAAATAATGGTATCAATGTCATAAAACTCAGATAAAAAGACTTACATACCATAAGATGAAATTCGGAAAATGTCAAAACCACAAAAGTTAACTTTGATAAATAAGACCATACAACATCTTTCTCACCTTTTTCATTCTTGAAACAACCATGTCTTTAACAGATGGGGATCTCGAGACCAAGTTAACTACAAAGAGACCATGCTTATGAAGGGCACGCTTTGCAGATAGAAGAAAAGACTCCTCCACAAAATCTGATGCAGGGCAGGTCATTCCAGAACTATAGAGATAAGAACCAACATTAAATTAGTAACAAAGGCCATAATTTTTGAAAATTTATCATTCAGTAATAATATATTTAATTGCAAAGCAAAAGTTCAGTATCTATATTTACCTTGAATCTGAAGAGTCAACATCAATAATAAGTACGTCAACCTCACTATTATTTCCACTTCCTGTTTGTGATGAACAGCAACTTCCATTGGAATGCGGCAGCTCCATATCAGATGGAGCATCCCCATCTTTGCCAGCAATATATGTTTTATCAGCTGCAGCAAGGTTTTTTACCTCAGTGATGAACTGGATTCCATCAGCAATATGCACCTGATACCAAATTGAAGAAATTTGAGGAATAATTTTCTATATATACACAGGACACAAGACTTTACTTCTAGGAATAATTTTCTTTGGGTAATATTGTATGCTTAAACTATCTGTTTACATTAAAAGCCACTGAAGACCATTTCTATTGAATTCCTTTACAGATACATCACGAAAATAAAAAGAATCATACCTATGATGAACACAAAAAGACGAGAAACTTCAAACAAAGGCAAAACCACATTCATGCTTTTTACAACCAAATTAAAGCAGAGCAGGAACCTGTAAGAAAAAACTTCCCACTTCATGCTTTTTAATCTTTTTGTTTCTGTAAAAATGTCTAGGCATCCCTAGATGTTAAAATTGACTCCTGAATCCTGATATATGCAATAGGATGGATGCATTTACCAATATGCCAACATACAAATATGTGAAGTGGGACCTCCACATATTAATTATTCTGTGTTCTAACACATGAACAACCAAAGAACGGACTAAACAAACCTGAAAGTCATTTCTTCAGTTGTAATCATTTAATGTAAAAGAGTTTACTGGACCATCGTTTCCAATCCAACAAAAATTGTGCATTGTAAAAGTCCATCAGCCAAGAACAAAACGAGAACGAAATTACACAAGAGACTTTAGGCCAGCACCAAAAGTTGTAGGCTACCACCATTTGAGCAGATATTTAAAACATGTTATTAGAGGCAACACATACAACTTATTACTGACAAAACCTAGAGCATATAAAGCAAATATTTCTGCACCTCATGACAAGCTACTGGTTTGAATATGGCCGCCTACCTCATTGAAGCAATAAAGATAAAGGGGAAAAAAAGAAATCTAGACCCCGCTTTGTACACGAAAAAGTTTATTTGTTTTATTTTTTAATTTCGATTTATTTTATACATAAAAACATATTGGTTAACAACAAAAAAAAAACGATAGTGAAAATAATGAAGTTAGAGAGAATTTTAAACGTTATATTTTGTTTAATTATTTTTGTTTATGCTCTTCTTGTTTCACAAAGACACATCTTTTACATACTTTGATGAGTAGAGACATGCATAGAAACATAAATTTAGAAAATAAAAGCTAAAAGATCTTCTCTTGTATAAAACAGAACCTGAACCTTGGAGTACCTTCAAGCGTTCATCTTGAATAAAACCAAAGTAGTCCCTCGCGAGATTAAGCATCACAGAATCTAACTCCACAACCTGATGCCATGGTAACATCAAATAGTTTTTACTAAGTGTATTGACAATAATAAGGTCCACCACTGAAGTTTCTTAATGAGCAAGGGAAGGCCAAAGCCCCAAAATTACCTCAATTTGCAAGAAGGGCATACACCCATGGAGAAACATAGGAAGCAAGCCTGCTCCAAGACCTATTAAAAGCACTTTAGCCTGGAAAGGGGGAAAGCAACACTAAACAGATCAGGAGGAAGCAAATCATAAATCCTTCAAATAAAGAAAAAATAGTGTGACAAAAAAGTCATATCCCACAGCCTTATGCAACAATCAAATTTTGACCTCACACCTTCCATCAATTTTTATTTTTTTAAAACAGACACACTGACTCATGCCACCACTACATAGAATCCTCACCATTTTCCCAGCTGATGCCACATTTTCCAAATAGGAAGAAATCAACGTAAACCCAGAAATTATCCCTGTGTGATAAGAACTAGCCAAATAACCATGATAGGCACTCAGCTTTCCACTTGGTTCTAGAAAAGAAAAAACAATTATCAGAGTGCAAGCTGACAACAAAGCGCGATAGTCAACTCAAAGTAGCTGAAGAAATACTTGATCTTTGACGTAAAACATAGATAAATGATGCAAAAAGGAAAAAGTAGATGTTCAGATATAGAAGCAACACCTAATATTCATATATTTAAACTCCATTTCTTTACAAAAATTTAATTAGACAATCACAGTTTGAACAACGTCAAAGACAAGAGTACCACAATTTTCTCTTTGAGTTCCCCTTCGTTTGGATTTAGAAGAACAGTTAGACTTCTTCCTCCCTGGTTCACTAACAACTTTATGAGATGATTCCTCCTTTGTCAACAAAGCTTCAGACTGTACCAGACCCTCAGTTCTTTGGAAAACAAGGCGACGGAATTTCAAATCTCTATCTGGAAAAAGGCGACTAACATCACCATCAACATTTTCATATATCACATCTTCGACAGTTACAGATCCAGTTAAGGAAGAAGAAACCTACATAATAAATAAGTTGATTCAAAATGATAGATACTCACAAGGATATCTTCACAAAACGAAGAAACTGCCTAAAATGGAATCCACAATTATTAAAAGGGGCATTAACAAGTGTCAGAAATGCAGGTTTGATGAGATGGTGGAACTGAACAAGATAAAACTAAAGGGAAAAGTACAAGATGAGGTAAGATATAGTGGCATGTTTGGAATACATAGTATTGGTGGAGCACCTTTCTTTTTGTTAAACAATAAACAGAACAAATCAACTGTATGTTTATTAAAATACCTTATTCTGTCTCATGTTTGATTCTGAATATTTTATGAATGGAACAATATAATCTTTGCTTATATATATATATATATATATATTAAATTTAGTGGTATTTCTAAAAAATATTAATATTAATTTTTTAATTAATTTTTTAACAGACGTACATTCACTATTCATATTGACAAATTAATCGCACAAAATAATAGTACATTAATTATTTTTTTGATAAAAGATAAATACTATTGAGAAAAGTAAGCACAATACAAGGATTACAGCAGATAAGTCATCCTGCTGAGGGATGGGAAAAAATTAAAAAATAAAAAAGCAAAATAAGACACTAGACATAGAAAGCAACAACTAGTCATAATATCACGGCATCCAACTCCTATGAACAACAGACAAGGATGCATACTTCCCATTAGCCTTGGCCCAAAGAGAAGCCAAAAAGAGCATCCTCTCCCATAAGATCGAGTCAGATAACGAATGATTATCAAAAATACGGTGATTGCTCTCCAATTAAATAGTCCACAACCCACCGGAAAGCACACCTTCCATAATAGTCTAGCCTTCGCCTTGATCCCAAAACCTCCGAAGTTTGAGCACAGAAAACAGCCATTAGAGGGAAAGACAACTGAAGATAGGTTGAAAATGCCAAAAAGCCTACTCCTAATCTGCAAGCTATCTCATAATCTTAGAACAGATAATTACGTGTCTCCCACTCCTATAACACATCATAGAAATATCAGGGGACAAAGCACGATCAGGCCTATGGATTTGCAATAACTTGTTGGTGTTTACCAACTCAAAATTGCGATCCAAGCAAATGCCTTCATATTTGAAAGAACCTTAACTTGCCAGGTGGTAACAATCTGGAATATGGTTCAAAAAATGATTTACAGGTGCATATCCCAGCTGAATCTAGAGTCCAAACCTTGCAATCTTGTTGTCGGGATGGGTAGGAAGAATTTAAAAGGCTTAAGAAAGTGAAGAGTTCATCAGTTTTTCTATCATCAAGGCTACGAAAAAAATAGAAATTCCAACTAACCATACCATTAGAGAGGTAAAAAAATTGATCTATCGGTACTTTGTAACGGGAGGAAAGGCGGAACAATAGAGGAAATTATGTACCCAAAGGGCGATCACCCAACTAATAATCCTCCCAAAAGAGGATCTTGGATCCACCCCCACTTTATATCTGGTAAGAAAAGTAAAAAGGTTAAGCAAGCTGGAATTGCCTTCCAAGGACTTCTGTGTTGGGTACATCTCGTGGCTATGACATCCCAACCACTACAACAAGATCTCATGTTTGGTAGATCTCATGTAGGACAAATGGTTTCACTTTTTTGGGTTCATTATTCTAGTACATAACCTTATTAACCTTGATGATTTTGGTTTTATTGTAGATATGCTCATTGACTTGTAAATTTTTTATACATGGGTGGCATCCCTTGGTGCTTACACTTAATACAATTTCCTCTCTTTTATTTAAAAAAAAAAGATTTGCATGAATACTTCTGATTACTTTATGTCACAAGAAATTAGTTTTCTGCGGGAAATGCATAGCCACTTAACCATAATGACAAATTCCTTGATTCTAAATTCTTGAAACCCAATCCTCCAACAAACCCCTCCCAAGTCATAAGGTGATCTCTTCTGTCTCCCTTATACCCAACCCAAAGGAAATCCCTTATTACACCCTCTAACCGCTTGATAATCCCAGTCAAAACTTTAAATAGGGACATATAATAGATACGAATGCCAGATAGACATACCTAAATGAGTGTAACCCTACCCCACCTAGAAAGAAGGCAGAGGATCATCTTGTCTAATACCTCACCTTCCCCTAAAACACTCTCGGGTCTTGGCAATCACAATGACTGCAAACGAAACAGAAGACAGGCAACCCCCCTCATCCAACTCCTCCATCTATGCCCAAAACCTAATGTGCCACAGTGAAATCCAAAAAACCCCAGTTGACCTGGTCGTAAGCTCTTTCAAAATCTAACTTCAAGACCAAACCCTCCTTCTTGGCTCTTCCCATAAACTTACCGATTCATTAGCTACAAGAGATGCTTCCAATACTAGTCTCCCTCCCACAAACGTATTTTGGTTCAGTGATATGGTGTCATCCAAAACTAACTAAGGCATATAAACAAAACCTTAGTGATAATTTTATAGACACTGGTGGCCAAACTAATGGGACAACAATCTGAAACCCTTTTAGACCTGTCTTTCTTAGGAATGAGGATTATAAAGGTAGAGTTCATACTTCTACAAATATTGCCATAATAGTGTATTAATTATTAAACCTAAATATTACGTGTAATCATATTTATAAGATACAATTACATTAAAGATCTCAAGTGAGAGTTAAGAAAATTAATCAATCATTAGCATTACCATAATTAATTATTAATAATTCCCATTACTATATTTAATCTCACCAACCAAGATTTTCGCCACAACAATCTATAATATATTATCTGTATTAAATAAAAATCCCAACTATCACCACTATTGACGGAAAGAAAATCATTCTATCATTTATTTATCCAAAACTCATAGCAAGTTACAGCAATATTTTTTTTTTAAATACAAGTTACAGCACTACATAACTAATTTAATGGAATCATAGAAAAATGACATAGAAGAATGACAAAAAAATAAAGAGACGGAAACATAGATAATTTAAGGAAAACATAACAAAAAGTATTAAAAAAAAAGAAGACAGAAAATCAAAATAGAGAAGGTTTCTTTTACATTAAGGGTAGAGGACAGTAATTTCATAATGTTGTTTAGTACTTTTAAGTTATTATGTAAGTAATGTAAATCTTAACATTTTATTTCGCTTCCGCACTTAAGTTATTATATATTTCCTTTTGGATTTTCGGGGTCATTACAAAAAATATCATAAACTAAATTATAACAAGTGTCAAATTTAAAAATTATTTTTGTAATTTGACCAAAAGACTAAAGAGTTTTTTATGTGTTAATAGATAAATCATCATATAGATTTCATCTTTAGGCTACTATGATTTCGATAAGATTTTAATGATACAGATTATTTACTTGATGTTATAAAGGCAGTACCATGGAAGAGAAAAAGGAGAAAACATTGACGGCCTCAAAAAACCATGAAACCCAAAGGTTATAGAGGAGGAGGCAAAGGTTGTTCAAGATAATGCAGAAATTATTGAGTCATATGTTTTGCTTATTTAGTGACATATTTTGGTTATTTTTAATTAGTTAATTAATTGTCCTAGTCTCGTGGTTGGTGAATTAGGATCAGATATTTAAGGGGATGTGTTTATCTGGTTGCTGAAGTAGTGAGATGTGGTTGTAGCTCGTGTATAAATTTGTTGGCTGAGAATAATCAAAGCGTATCAGTTCTTCAACATTTTTATTTTCTGTCCATAATCTGTTTGTTAGAAGTTTTGAGTGAATTGTTTCTGATATGTTGCTTTGCCTCTCTTGATTTTGCAATCAAGCAGAAAAGTTCATTTTTTGTTTATAACCAGTTTAAAGTTAACATCTAACATTAGAGTAAGGTTATATAAGAGATTACAAACAACTCTATAGGCTTGAGTTCAACTCTTCCCTCACTACCATTATTCAGAGGAAATGACTATAATATATGGAGCATAAGATAAAGACTCTCTTCATTTCTCAAGACTTGTGGGAGCTTGTTGAGTATGGCTACAATAAAGCAAGTGTTTCAATTGAATTTCTTAAAGAATCCAAGAAAAAAGATGTTAAAGCTCTTTTTTATAATCAACAAGCTATTGACGACAACATCCTTTCATGAATTGCGACTACAATGAAGTCACAAGACGCATAGAATGCACCATAAATGGATAAGGGGACAACCAAAGTTCAATCTATCAAATTGCGAACACTTAAAAGACAATTTGAAGAGTTCTCCATGAAGGATGGTGAGACTATAAAGGCTTATTTTTACAAAATACTGGAGGTTGTTAGTTAGATACACAAATATGGTGATCAATTATCAAAGCAATAGGTTGTTGAGAAAGTGCTGCAAAGAATTCTAAAGAAATGATCACGTAGTGGCTGTTATAGAATAATTTAAAAACTTGAGGCAACTAACAACTTATGAATTGTTTGGCTCATTACAACCTCATGAAGACAGATTGAACAAGTGTGAATGAAAAAGAAAGAAGTAACGGTAATTTAGTATAGTAAAAACTTGAGTTTTCTAACAAGCAGTATAACAAATTGTTCCACCAAGAAGAAGGAACAAAATTGTTAACTCAACTTTGTGCTTTTGTTCTGTCCTAATGTTTTAATTTACCACCAAGCATTAGACAGTGTCCAATCCCATAAAAATAATGGTACCAAGGGCTACTAAAATCAATGATGTCGTATGTTTCAAAGCACCAGCCGAGTTGAATGCTCCAATTTACTAACCTGGTGAATAGTATTTCGCTGCTTTATCCCGTCGCTTGCCATCATAAACCTGCAGACCACAAGCAGGATAAAAGACACCTATTTTATGAGATAATACTTCAGAGTTAACAGATGGTTACTCATATTCTGCTATAACAGGATAAAGCATCATTCTACTTTAAGAAGTGGCATTGGCGATATATGGTGGAAAGACTATCACTAGTCGATAATGAAAGTTAATAGAAAACCTGTGGAGAAAACATATGAAAATTATATAAAGCTAAATACATACAGTTAATGTCACCTGATATTGGTATCATTGCAAATATGTCAATACATGCTTAATTCTTTGGTGTAAAAGAGTCTACAGTCACGGGCTTTGAATAGTCATATATCTTATTGAACTGACATTTCACAGGATTAAAAATAATAACAAAATAAAAACATATTCATGTCATGCAGCTGAACGTCATATCTAAAAACTCAAAGCAAGAGAT